CATTTCAAAAGAAAAAAAAATATGTTAGCATTACTAAAATGTGTTATCAGTTGTTTAATCTAGTGGGTTTTATAGTAGACTTACCACACATTATTCAATAGTTAAGAATTGCATACGCACGGAATAATTGATTGATAACAAATTAAACTTTAGATATGAAATGATTTTTAAACACCTTAGTTTATCTATGTTTATTGGTCATCCTTGATTTCTTAAAATACGAGAACGGGAAATAAACTAGGATTGTAATATGAAAAAATAGTGTATTAAAACTACTCGAAGTAAAAATTGGTCTGTAATATTTTATTTTTCTTTAAACTATTTTAAAGAAAAGTTTCAATAATATTCTCATAATCTCTCTCTTGATTTAGGATAAACCCTTTCCTCATCTCAATGAACAAGATTCATGTCCTACCACGAAGAGATTTTTCAATGTGTTTGAAACACAGATACATACGTTATATATGTCATTATATAAGTGGTAAAATACTTAAAAAAATAGTTAAAAAAATATTTTTTTCACATGTATAATAACATATAGCATACCACTAGCTCTATGTTCTTAGTACGTTAAAAAATCTCTCCCCATAATATGAGGGTTCCATATCTCCCTTCCATTTACCCGTGAGCTTCTTTCTTGTCTTTGCTCCTCAGATTCCTTTTTGCATTGATGAACCTGTTGACATATGGATATATAAAAAGTCTCTTTGGATCCAGAAAATATAAAGAAAAATGGAAAACACGGTAATACGATAATAACTTTGGTACAGTGAAAGATAACTACTTATTCCACACTGCTGGTATTCGCTTATTGGTAACCATCCCTTCGTGACCTACTTGATAATTAACTCGATCAATATGCCACTAGCTAATGCTTTTCCCTTCTTTATCAAAGAAAAAGAAATAAATTTGTGACCAAAATTTTAATGTGGGTCGAGTTTATTTTTTTCATGCAAGCGATAGAGGGAGGAAAACTTGAAGGTAGAATTAAATGTTCTTAACTACAAGAGAGTTGTAAAATTCTTGCGACTTTATCGAGTTAAAATGAATAAAAATGTTTATGGCCTTTTCCACAAAACTCTAACTTTAAAATAAAATTGTCACTTAATTAGTATTCAATCTAGTGGTATTTCTCTTCACTCGTAATTGAGAGGTTTTAGGTTTGAATATCGTGAATGGTGAGTTTCATACCAATTTTGTCACATCCCGACCCGGGCCCCCACCACATACCGGGCTCGACTCCGTCGTAGCACAATATTGTCCGATTTGGGCCCCGACCACGCCCTCATAGTTTGGTTTCTAGAAACTCACACGAGAACTTTCCAGTGGGTCACCCATCATGGGATTGCTCTCGCGTGAACTCGCTTAACTTCGTAGTTCTGATGGAACCCAAAGCCAGTGAGCTCCCAAAAGGTCTCGTGCTAGGTAGAGATGGGAATATACATATAAGGCTTACAGGATCCACTCCCACACGAGAACTTCCCAGTGGGTCACCCATCATGTGATTTCTCTCACGCGAACTCGCTTAACTTCGAAGTTCCGATGGAACCCGAAGCTAGTGAGCTCCCAAAAGGCCTCATGCTAAGTAGAGATGGAAATAAACATATAAGGCTTACAGGATCCACTCCCCTGGGCGATATGGGATATTACAAATTTATTCGCACCCTATAGTGTAAATATATCGTTGTATAAAAAACTCTAAAACAAAGTTAAATAACTCGGTCTAATTATAGCAGTTGAAAATTAGAGTATACACGCAAAAACATTACAAAATTGTCAAAATGACTACATAACTCAAAGAGACTATATTTTAAAAGAATTACATTAATTGAATATAGAACATCATATTTGTGGAGAACCAACCATAATCTTAATAGTCAAGAAATCCAAATTCTTAACATACAAGAAAATCCTCGACACAAAATATTTGAAATACCCTTAGCTAATAATAAACCAAAAAATTAACAAATTAACTTTTCCAACAAGCTTGAACCTATTCATCCTTGAACCTTTCTCATATCCTTCTCTAACATCGCAATGGGATATTTATGCACCTTATGTTAGTTTCTTATTTATATATACTAAACAAATCGTACAAGTTAATTAAGCTTAGAGTTTCCATGTTTACAAGATTAATTAATGGAGATAAGTAAAGACTAATCCACATTACAATTTTTTAGTTGTAGTTGTGTACAATGGACTTTTGGTCCCTCCCTCCACTTTTCTTGCTCTCTCCCCATCCCAACTCCGTTAAATAAAACTTGATTCTTTTTCTTTTTAGTACTTTGCAATATTTTAAAGTGCAAACCAAATAAGAACCACAAGCTAATGTGGGCAGTGAACAGCACACTAAGAATTGGATTGGGGAAAATGAAAGTTAGAATCTAACCATTACTCTCTTGTGGAACCCGAACTGATTCATGTTCCAAGATTTATATAAAATACTAATAATCTTTGGGTTAATGGAAATAATAACATTAATTAAACATGATATAATATGGAGAATTTTTATATGTTGAAATGAGTTCAAATTTTTTGTACCTCTCTGTGTCCCATTTCATTTGTTGACATGTAGTCATTCATTTAAACTCCACTTAAAAGTACTACTCTTCAACTTATCTCTTCAATAAAAATAATTAAAAACTAAAGATAAATTAAGTCAAAAAAACATATGTCATTCAAATGAAATAAATCACAGAAGCCATAGAGAGTTTTAGTTGCAAAAGATTTGAACTTCGTTGGAATTTCACTTTTGACATCACAAATGAGATGATGAGGTAACTAATTAAATAACTTTCGTGCATGCTGATGTAGCCTAAAAGTTGGCCATTACATCAAACTTAAAACCCAAGTTTTGTTTGTGACTAAAATAATCATAGAAAAGAACGTTTGATTGTAGTTTACAAAATTTCAACTCTCACTCCCTTCCCTCAATTTTATTCCATTTAAATGGCTCTACATGTAAGATTCACTATGCATTGGTGGAGTTATGTGTGAATTAGTGTCAAACACATTGTGCTGGTCTCGCACAAATACAAATCCAATTTATTGTGGGGAAATCTTATAAGTTTTATGAACAAATTTCTGAATGATGGCAAAGAGTACATAAATAATTTACCATGTCTTAGAAGATTTATGAGTTTACAATTCATGATTTAAGGTTTTTATTTTGAATATATTGGTACAATTTCAACGTAATAGTATATCTTTTTTAATATTAGAGATGCTAGATATAAACTTGAGACATTTTTTAATATTAGAAAGAGGAGTGACGCTAAAAGCTAATTGGCTTAGTGTAATTGTACATTGCGGGTATATTGTTGTGGTACATCTTTTAGTTATTATATTGATATCTTATGTGGATCGAGCCTGTTTAGATTTATGTATTTTATTAGTGAAATCGGCTCATTTGGATCCGTTTGATGTGGGCCGGTTGTTACGGATCAAACAAATCTATTTTCAATTATATGTTGTATAACAATATAAAATAATCTCTAAGGGTTTTCGTTTAGTTTACTATGGGAAGGAAATGAAGGGACTCACATGAATATTTGTTTGAATAAGTTTGATCATTGTTTTACTTCATAGGGTTAGATAAATATGAGATTATGGATCATGACTTCATTGTAGACCAGTAATAAAATGACAAATGCTAAGACAATCCTTAAACTATGGGAGAGCATTTTTGCTCACCATGCTAAACTTTGGCGTATGTTCACCGTACATCTAATTATTTGCCATGTGTCATTTTACTTAATTTTGGTTAATTTTTTTCAAAATTAAAAAAATAATATTGAATGTAAAAGTTAACTAGAGTTAGTTGAAATGATATAATAAATAATTAGATGTATAGTGAGCATACATCATAGTTATGCTGATGAGCAAAAATGCTATCTTAAATGGTGTGGGCCGGGTTGCCCTCACATGAGAAATATAAACTCAATTTTCAACTCGTTTTTACACAAGTCGGATCTAACACAGTCTCACAGACCGTTTTAAAAAGGCAAAAATAGAACCGGCGGTTCGAATCCTACCCACTTTTGTAAAATACTATTTGATAATAGGAGTGGAGGAGTGTGGAAAACAAACTCCCCATGGACGCGTGACGAAGTAGTGAATGTATGGGGGAGGTGTATGCGATCTGATCAAGTGTTTCGATCATCTTCTCCAATCCCATCACATTGAGCCGAAGCGCAGAATACAAAATGACACAACACCCAGAGTCTCTCTGCAGTCTGCAATCTGCAGTCAGGCTCTCAAGTCAATGCCCTCCCTCTAAAATCATCACCCATTAATATTCACACACACTCACTCTTGCACATGTCTTTGATGTGATGATAAGTTTCCCATTGGTGGCACACACATGCTCGTGCCCCTCAAATTCCCAATCCAGCCAATCACCTCCCACCATTTTGAAAACATCCCTAAATACTGTTTGAAAACATTTTCTCACTAGCCATTCACCTCCCTCTTCCATCCCAACCCCACTCCAAACACCAAAAAAGAAAAATCAACAAGCTAGAGAAGAAAAAAAATGACATCTTTAGTTCAACCACCAAGAAAAAGAAAGAGTAGACGTAAGTTAAGTCAATCAACCGAGTTGCGTATCGATTTTTTACATCTAAGTTTAAATTTATTATTTATTTTAAAATTTTCAAGTTTATGCGGTAAAAATATGAGTAAGTGAATCAAAAGCTTCAAATAAGTTAGGGATCGTACTTAACACAAATATTATTATAAATAAAGAAGAATGCTTCTACTATATACTTACTATATACTATAAAAGAAGAAAGGGAAAGGGAAAGAGAAAGAGATAGAGATTAAAGGAAAACTAAAGAAAAAGAGTTTGAAAACTTTGAGTTTTAATGATAAGGACAAAATAAAGGGTAAAGTGAATAGTACTAGGATTGACTTTTTAGTGTAAAAATGTAATTTTTCGTTAAAGTAAACAGTACCGAGTCTTTTTCGTTAAAGTTCGCATAGATTAAAGCACAACACAAGCATAAGCAAACAAAACACAGCAAATAAGCAACAACCATTTTTTTTTTCTCCTTTTTCTTTCTTTTCCCATTTCAAAGGGCCAATACCAAAGATCAAAAGCCTTGTTTTTCACTCTTCCAGTTCCAAATCCCAACTCTTCTTCCAAGTAGCAACCCAAACCCCATCTTAAAGCAAGCTCTCTCTGTTTTTCTTGAGACGCAGAACGGTTTTTGGTGGCGGTGGCGGTGACAGAACACCCACCAAATCCAAATGGAATACACAAGCTCAAGGCCTCAAGAATTCAGAGAGAAGCCCTATTCGTATTCCCCCATAAACTCGCCGAGAACCAACAACAATGGCACGGCCACCAACGCCAGCGTCTGCAGCAGCAGCAGCAGCTCGGCGGTGGCGGCTCAAATCCCGACAACTCCGAAAGTCTCAACTCCCAGATCTGACTCCAATCCCTACCCGACAACCTTTGTCCAAGCTGACTCCTCGAACTTCAAACATGTTGTCCAAATGCTCACCGGCTCCTCGGAAACCGTCACTCACCAGTCCTCCCCTAAACCCACCACCGCCACCCACCACCACCACCATCATCAAGATCCAACAATTTTGCCACCCTCCAACAAAAACTTCAACATCCCACCTATCAAAACCGCCCCACCAAAAAAACAGGGCTTCAAGCTCTACGAGCGGAGGAGTACCAATCTCAAAAACACCCTCATGATCAACACCCTCATCCCCAACTTCCAATCGGCTTCTGGGTTTTCGCCACGTCACCAGGAGATCCTGTCCCCGAGCTTGCTCGACTTCCCTTCCCTCACCCTCAGCCCAGTGACGCCGTTGAACGACGACCCCTTCGACAAGTCGGCGGCGTCGCCGTCACTGGGGAACTCTTCGTCGGAGGAGGACAGGGCGATTGCGGAGAAAGGGTTTTACTTGCACCCGTCGCCGAGAGCTACGACGACTCCGAGAGACCAAGAGCCGCGGCTTCTGCCTCTGTTTCCGGTCACGTCACCGAGAGTTTCTGGGTCTTCTTCTTGATCAAATGACGAGGAGAGAGAAAGAGAAGAGAGAGAGGCATGTGTAGTAAGTATTATTTACTGTGGGTGGGTTTTGATTAAAATGATCATCAGGAGAAGTGAAGATTAATGGGTTGGATGAGTTTCAATGACAGGTATAGATCTTTGTTTTAATTGTACAATTTTCATATCGCTTCCATAAAAATGCTAAAAAACTGAGCTTTGTTCTTCAACCTCCTCTACTTCTTTTCTTCTTCTTTATTTTTTATTTTGCAATTTGTATTGGAGTTTTTTTATAATTTCTACCGCAACCAAATTAAGGAAGATTGAAGGTAAGTTTTATGTTGGAATCTGGGTGAGCATATATGAATGGGATAATGATTTTTAATCTTACCAACTTGCATTGGTTTAGCATTTCATTCAATTGCAGAAATGATTTATCTTTCCTTGTGTGTGTGGGATGGGAGAGGACTTTTAAGAAGATGAGGGTGTGGGCTTGCTGGAATGGACAATTAGGAATGAGATTAAGAAGTTTTAGGGTTAAGTTTTACTGGTTTTTTTTTTTCTTTTTACTTCTGGGTCAGCAGGTTAATTAAGTTTTACTGACAAGTTAACTAAATTTTAATTAAGGATATATAGTTTGGAGCTTATACATTTGAGAGAGGGATTGAACTTGATGAAGGGTTGTTCTTCTTCTAGGGTCCCCCCAATTGAGGAGTGAGGAGGTGGAGGACCACATTTCCCATTCACTCAAAGGCCATCCATGCATGAAACTTCCACCTAATCATGTGGACTTGTGACTGTGAGCTCTTGAAATTGTTCAGATAATGCATTTGTAGCAGGTCTTCTCATTCTGTACTTCTCTTTATTTCTCTTTTGATTTATTTATTTAGAATTTGGGAAAAAAATGAGGAAAGAATGCACGAGATGAAAATGGGAGTACGACAATCATTATATTACAATCACTCAGGTGCGAGGATTGAGCGCATATGAGTCCTTTTTTATTTAATGCATGCTTAGTAGTTAGTACGCTTCGTGAATTACTGCACTAATCCTCAAATTACATGACTTTAATTATTTGTTTTGCCTTGAATACTTGTACAAAATTACAAATAACTCAAAAGGAAATGCTAAGGAGAGGCTCTCTCAAAAGTGAGACTCTATATGGAAAGTTTCTACATTATAAAACATTGTGTTAAAAACATGAGGCGGCATAGAGTCTATGAAGAGTCCCACTTTAGAGAGTCTGCTTAACGTTTATCTAGCGTGAAGCATGGCAACACCATTTATCAAATACTGTAATTCAAGAATTATTGCACGAATCCACAATTTATCTTATTAAGACCTTATATGAAATAGCCGATGGAGGGGTTTCTTTGTGGGAGTACTCACAAATGAAGAAGAACGTAGCTTTCATTATCGAAAACTTACATGCAACAAGGATATATTGGTCTCTCACTTCCAGTCAATCTCATCATGTAATCCACGCAAAGAATGAGAGTGAGACTAAAGGGCTACATGAGCCTATGTCTCATTAGAGGGCTGATTTTAACACCATATTTAGATTCTCACACCCTTCTTTATTTCTGTCCATCAGATTGAATAAATCAAGCGTAAATAACAAATATGATCAAATATAAATGTATAGGAGAAGAAAAGGGACGTGTGTTTGTCATTTTAGGTCCCAATAACCTCGTCGTAGGGAAGTTTCCCTGCAACTTTCATTTCAATTTTACGTGAAAGGAAAAGTATTTGGAATTTTATCGTTAGAGGCTTTCCATTTGTGTACAACTTTACCATATGCTGAGATAAAAGACAACGAATAATACATATATGCAGTGCATATACAAGTAAGGAAAGAAGTTGCGGGTTGAACATTTCAGACATTCTTCCTCTGTTTTTTATTTTTCCATGAATATATATATATATATATAATTGTTATTGGCACTCTAAAAATATCATTTTACTCTCCAAACTATAATTAGAAAGAAAAATGCACTTATGATGAGTGTAGAATAAGATTTTTGAAGTGCTAATAACGGTTCCCTATATATATAGTGGAGTGTAAAATGAAATTTTTGAAGTACTAATAAAAGTACTATATATATATCTATACTATTAAGAGAACCCTCCTTGTCAACTTTTTTCCTATTTTGCCCTCACTTTTGATACACACTATTGACAAAAGGAGGGCAAAATAGTAATTTTGTACATTTTTCCACACACTATTGACAAAAGGAGGGCAAAAAGGAGGGCAAAATTGGAAAAATAAGTATATGATTGTCAGTTTATGAAAAAAGAGGCTAAAATAGGAAAAATAAGGATATGATTGTCATTTTATGAATAATACATATATGCAATGCATATTCCTATTTTTCCTAATTTACCCTCTTTTTTCATAAAATGACAATCATATTCTTATTTTTTCAATTTTACCTTCATTTTTTATACACAATATTACATAAGAAGGACAAATCAGTATTATACCCTCATTTTTTATACATAATATTTACATAAGAAGGACAAAACAGTAATTATGTAATATTAAAAAAATATGAATTTATTAGGAGAAATTATTCACACACACAAAGTCTGTGCTCTCTGCTAGTGTATATATATGAGTTTGTATTGGGTTGTTTGTGATGTGGACTCATTTGACTAGGAAGAATAACAACTTTCGCAATGTGTGTGGACGCAAGAAAGAAAAACAAGAAACCAAAAAGTGGGGCTTTCTTTCTGTTGCCCCTTATCACACTTGAGGACGAAAGGAGAAAGAAAAAATACCAAGTACAATTTGAATTTGCAAATTAAAGCTGCAGATAAAATGTCAAGACCTGTTCTTTTTTCCTTTTTCGACACTCAATTTCTGTCGTTGTGCGCGCGTGTGTGCCCACCAAGTTGGTGCGTTGAACTGAAAGACCGCCAAAGTTGTTTCTTATTTATTAATTTATTTATTTGTTTTTGCAACTTGATGATGGATGAAGAAATATCTTTTGTCTACTCGTTTTAGATTGACAAAGTATTATTGCTTTTTTGGATTGTTGAACAAGTTTTGGATTTTCATGGAAATTGGATAATCTTGATAGATATTTATCAAAGAAAAACTTGTGTGGCGGCTAGAAATTTGGAAACTTGACAGCCTCAAGAAAAATGAAATGAACAAACAAACCTCAAGTTACATACTGTTATATCATTGACCCCTTCGTCCGCTGCCTATCAAGTTAAGTAGTACTTTTTGGGGTTCGTGTCATGAGAAAAATTGGTCCAAAAACGACATATGGACTCGAGACTTGAGAGTTGGATTAATAGAGATACGAACAATGTAAAAATCCGTAACTTTAGGTACCATTTGGTACGTGGGATGGGACATAACGAAGTGGGACGAGGCGTTCCGTCTCACGTATGGTGCGCGTAAAACGGGTGGAACGCATTGTTCCATGGAACGAATTTTTGATGAATTTTCGTTCCGCCTCATCCCTCTGGAACGACTCGTTCCACATCCGTGGAACACAAAATTATAACATCTCCGTCTCCTTCTTCCTCATTGTTTTCATCCGAGGGCATCTTTGCTCCCTCTCCATTCCGTCCCGTCTCGTCCCGTCTGCATACCAAACGATACCTTTGGGTTGTTTTCATTTATTTTGAAAAATATGGGGACTCAACCTTCATATACTCGCACTACACGAGTACAAAATGTAATTGAGTCAAAAAGAAAAGGGAAAAGTATCGTAATGCCCACTCACTTTATAACTAAAATATAGATGATAAATCAATATACAGCGAGGTGAAAAAATTATAAAATAGATGGCACTTAGAATTAAAAAAGAAGGTAGAAAACCATATTATTATCCCAAGTATGACTGAAAGTGAGAATCCAACCTGGATAGTTGGGCCAGCGTGATTGGTACCTTGACTGAAATTTCCTCACTTATATGCCTAGTTCATATCTGCATTTTGTGCCTGCCATATTACCAATCTACTTCTCATTTAGTAGGAAGGAAGGATTCATGTACACAAAGTAATCTGGTCAACCAAGCTAGGTACAAAAGTAAAATCTGGTACCAATTAAAACAACTAAGACAGCTACAAACCGCACCTTGACAAAATAAAGTTACCTTTTTATACAAGCAATAGTTGGAAACGGAGAAATTGAACTCAGGATCTCGAGTGTGAAGATAAATATTTTTAACCAATTGAGCTACAATTCCCTTGCAACAACGGTATAATTATGTTTACGGGACTTAACAAGCAATGACATACTACAACTGAATGAAAAAGATAAAATCCAAGAAACAGATTGAATCATTGATGCATATGCATATTGAGAAAGGGGACAATGATCCAACAAGAGGACTTTTCTTTTTTTTTTTAAATCTGGAAAAAGCTGCATATTTTATTTATGTATTTATTCATATGGTTTATACATTCCATGTTACATGTTTACAGAGAAGTACATCTATTCAGATTTCCAGGAAAGAAGTGATTGTCATGAAACCATGATTCTCTGGAAGAGCTCCATTCCCTGGTCGGATCGATACAGCAACTCCCAATCCTGGAACATAAACAAAATTAAAACATCTACACCGGAAGAAAAAAAATCTGAATATCAGGTGACCGTATTCATTCATCTTTTCTTTCTTTCGCTCTTTACTTTTTACTTTTGTTATGTTGGAGCAACAGTGAACTAGAACGGGTAGAAAAGTGTGTAGCGACATGTAACCGGGTGTATACACCATCCTCTCAATATATGTGGTCACGTGCTAGTCAAGTGACCGGATTGTTGTGAGAAGAGGGTGTATGAACCTGGTTACATTTAACATTTATTCAGAGGGGTGGGGGTAATCATGGGCAACTCATTACCTGCTGCCTTTGCAGCTACAGCTTCTTGAAAGACATCCGTCACAAATAAAACCTCCGATGGTTTATCAACTCCAACTGATTGTACAATTTCAGCATAACTGCTACTTTCTCTTTTGTTTCTGCAAGAGGAAGCGAGATTTAGCTAGCTTGAAGTGAATCAGGAAAGCTGGAAGCAGATCACGTTAATGTTAAGTGAAAGCGTTTTTAAAAAGTAGAAAGGGATTCTGAGTTAATTTACCCCACTGTGGTGTCAAAAAATCCAGACAAATATTCTCTTAGGTCCCCATAATTTGAGTTACCAAATATAAGTCTCTGTGCCAACCTGCTACCACTGGAGTATATGTACACCTGCCGTACAAATTGTCAACAATGAAGGTATGACATCGAGGAATCAACATCAACTTCACCAATGAATTAAATCCAATTTGTCTGGTTGGCATATGAGTCAATGACATCGGAAACATTAACGCTTGATAAGCTATATCTTGACCATGCACGCACCTTTATGCCTGAATCATGCCATTTCTTAAGAGCTTCTGGTACATCATCGAAAACTACTCCTGTCAATTCATTCTTTTCAAATCCAGTTCTCCAGATATGACCCTGCATATAGCTAGAAGTCAGCTATATCCCAAAACATACGCAAACATAGCCAGCAAATTCCTTCTAAAAATCCAAAATTTCTTACTTGCAACTGTTTCAAGGCAGTGATCTTCCGATCAGCTTTTATCATCGAGTCAACATTAGCAACCAAAGCTTGAACAACCTCCTCTTTCCCTGCATCATCAGAGGGGATGGGAACAGCACCAGCAACACCTTTTTCCAGGTCTTCTTGAACCTGCAATAAGAATGTAGAACCTTAAGTATCAATTCAAAGCGTCCAGCTTACTTCTGTGATCTTCCAGTTAACTTCTAAATTTAACTCTCTAAATAATTAAACTGCTAGCCTGAGCCCACATTTATCCAAGTCAGCTCTATACAATTTCCGGTTTTACTTATAACAGGGATTAAAAGATTAAACTGTGGTTTGCTCACTTCAAACTAATAATATTCACATTCATATCAAAATAATAATTACTTAAAAAAACCATTTTTTTCATAGCACATTGAAAAGTAAGGGGACTACTATAATTCTAAAGCAATACTATTAGCATGAAATTTTAATCAGTGGCATGGCAAAGCACCATGGTGCATTCATACATCATGTGGTGCACTACTGATCCATGATTAACAGCTGCATACTAATGTGGTTATACAGGTATATGGTCAATGAAACAGTACTCTTGAACAAAAAACTTGCCTGGAAGCGCAACAACTTTATGTCATCTTGAGTTTCTTCAGTGTCATATGTTGCAGACAAGTGCCTTCCAACATTATCGCGGGCATATGGAAAGAGAACATCAGTCACAAACGATATGGGAGTAGTAGTCCCCTCGATGTCAAGAACAATGCAACGCTACAAAAATAAAAAAATAAAAAAATAAAAAAAATAAAAAAGGAGGAAAATCCATAAAGAATAGGAGGAAGAATACAGTTTATACAAGAAAAAGGAAAATGCTAATTATCAAATTTCTCAACCAAAAGGCAATTTTTGCACCAAACCAAAACATATATATAAAGATACACCAAACTAAGGCTGAGTTCAAGGCCCAAGGTTTCCAAGTAAACTAAAAGACAAAGGAATTAGACAAGAGTCTAGAACCCTGAGAAATAAACACTTTAAACTTACTCGTGATGGCTCAAATTTATTATCTGAAGCTGCAGTCCCAGCGTTCACAGATATGTTTCTGCAAATACCACTTCCCGAAACTCCCTTGACATTTTGTTTTATAGGACCATGGTTTGGAGTAGTTGGGTCCAAACCCAACTGATGAAGTTTGATAGCAGCTTCAAAGAGATAGTGATAACATTCAGCCTGAAAAATAAAAAGTAAAAATTCTGAATGTGTAGAACTTTCAGACCACTAAGAAGATAAAAGGCTCCATGCTTCCAAATCCATATGTTAAACATCAATATATATTTCGCTAGAAAGTTCAGCACTCTAAATGATTTCAAGTCTTCCTCTTTTATATTCCTATTTCCCCCTTTTGTTTCTTTTGGCAAAATTTATCCATGCTTGAAGGGGACATTGGTATATCAACAGTAACATAAGCATTGCCACCTTCAGCAACCGGCATCAAGTATGATACGGCACAAAAAAGGTCCAATCCCTAATGTGAGAAGGATATAAGTGATTTACTATGTTTGACAATTACACTGACTGCCTAACCATCAGCATCACATACTGCAAAATCAACAATTATCCCTAAGATACACACCTGAGTCTTAGCATTGATCCACGAGTCTCCCCATATATAGATCCCATGGTTACGAACAAGAACGGCTGTTGTTTTCGGGTAGGCTTCAATCTGTTGAACATGAAGGCAAACAAAATACTCATCCACATAGAAATTCAAAGTTCAATTATTGATTTTTTTTCAATAACAATCAAGCAATTACTTGGGAAACAAAAAACCTTATCCCTCAGCAAAGCTAACAAAATGAAATGACAAAGGATTAAGTACATATTTGTGTCGGCATGAACTGAACAACAATATGTTACTGGGATGAAGTCCATCAGGATATTAGCTTTATGTCATCAAAAGTGGATAGAATTGTCAAACCAAAACTAAATTAAGTTTAAAACATGAACGTACAGCTTTGGCAAGAGACTCTGTGAGCTCATATTCATAGGCAGTATTCTCTATTATAGGGACCACAAGCTCATCATAATAACCGTGCCCTTTGATTCCTTTGATCATCTCCATATGGGTGATCTGCATATTTGTTTACAGAAACAGGAAAACCAACTATTAAAAGAGACAACCAGTTAGAGTAGGCAGGAATAATCACATAGAAGAATCATCAGGCCTCCCCCCCCCCTCCTTCTTTTTTCTCTTTTTCACTCCAAAAAAGAATATTCCAATCCATCACTGTAACATTAAGTTCTGAACTACCCAAATTTCTGAAATCCATACTTTGCTTTAATTATCATTCATAAACTTCCAAGCTTATAGATCATTTTTGAGATCAGAAAGGAACTACCAGATACTACTAAAAAGTTTACTAAACAAGCCTATTGTACTTTTATCGAAAATATGCAGCTGAAGTTCCACCCTCTAGAAACTCCTCCAACTTTTTTAAAAGACCACATGCAAACCTTATGATACAGATGCACTGTTGCTTCAGACAAATCTTAGCACACAACTAATATACTGAACTTTTTTATATCTTTTATTTTTTCAGATCTGTTGGCTGCATAATATTATACTAAGTTTGAAGCTACATATATCTATTAGAAGCTACAAGGTTCATTAATTTCCAAAAGATCTTCAAATATGGAGTCAATTAAATGAAGAAATATCCAACTTTTCAAGCAGGGGGAGGCAAACATTAAAAATGGGAAAAAAAATAAAGGATATCACAGCAATGAATAAAAACAAAAGGTCCCTGTGTTTATATATTAATTAGCACTTGGTATATTCCTCACTAATGGGTGCCAGGAGTAAAAACTTACTCGAAATTCTTTTGCATTAGGATTGATCATTGTTACAAGACAAGATTCCATCCCATGACTATGAATAACAGCTCCAGCATTACGCATCTCATATGCCTAGAAAACAAGGGAAATAAATATCAACTATTACTTTTCATAAGAGAGGCGTTGGATTTTCCAAAAATTAAGCAAATGGTGAGTATTCATGAACCCAGAGATACAGGACAACGGATCGTATTACAAGGTTAAAACAAATGTTTTAGTCAAATTTGCACGTGCACAGCTGCTGAAGTGCCTTCAAGAAGCAAACCGGCCTTAAAAATATAACAAATAGTACTTGCTCAATATTAGTTAGAACATGTATCCCGAACTAACAAACAAAAAGAAAACTAATTCAAGAAGGAGCACTAGCATCAAATATGGAACACAGAAACCACAACAATGCATTGACCACATTTTTAGTTAATGATAGAAGAATAAATAGTGTGAACAAAAAGAAACAGCTTATCAGATGGTAGCTCACATGTCCGCAACAGAATTTCAACAAACTACAACTTCTCTTCCCTTTTGGATATGAAGATTTCAAATTTGGCCAATGACTAAATTCCAGACTTCTATCTCAATTGACACAAATGCAGATGAGTCTTTGTGACCCTTTACATCCAAAATCATGTAAGGTTTAAATCGATCTGCATTGTACCTTGTAACTGAGATTCCTTGACATTTCTCTTCGCAAAATCAATCGCCTCTTGGCTACATTCTGATAGGGATCCAATAGCCATAAGCAATCAAAGTCTTCAAAAGTGATTATTTTGATTGCTAATGAAATGTAGGAAAAGATAATGGATCAAATTTCTTTTACCATCTTCAATATTTGGAGGAGTTAGGAACTACAGTCTCCAACTGGTTTAGCAGCTTTAGCATGCCAAAACCAATAGCTCTGGAAAAGGTATTTTGGTTGTAAAACTAAGATTTCATATTGTATTCTGTGAGAGTTATAACTTAGAAATACCACCCCGTTGTGCCAACAAAGTTATTGCTCAGCTTACATAGTGTATAATATCAAATGAACCCCAAAAGTGTTCATTAATGTCATCATCACATATTCAGACATCAACACATATTCAGACATCAACAGTAATTGTACAAAACTGGACCTGAGTCATTTCAAAGTTTTAAATGTTCAGACTGACTTATCCAAATCAAACATTAGTCGGAACTGCTTTATACTATCTTTCGAACAAGAACTTTATAGTATTTATAAAAAGCACAAGAACTGATACCTTCATAAAAAGTGGACCACAATCAGAACACTTGGGAGGCTTATGTGGGTAGGGTTTAGGAGATGGAGTACACAAGACAGACCCATTCGGAGATAACACATACATGTCCTCTGGTACCATTCTCTCCTTCTGAACGCCTACACATTGAAAACACATGAAGTAGTGAGCCAGAAACAAAATAGACGAACACGTATTGAAAATGAACCTAAAGTTACAATGAATAAACTAACCTGTTTAGCATTTAAAAAAAAAAAAAACTACATAGCAAACATATTTTGCCTTTAAGCTTGAAAGATGCATATCTACAAACAACCAAATATTAACAAACACAAAACGAACCATGATAAATATGAAAAGAAATTGGATGAAATGGTGAATTTACTAATCCCAATTGCTGAAATGATGACTTTCAGTAAATGATCTATACGTCGTTAATGTTTGATATGTCATTATTTCCGCCAATTTCTCAAAATGAAATCTCACTAATCAAACAGCCAACCTGTCGAGCTCATACTAAAAAAACACAGTAACTAATCAACACAAAACAAACCCCACAATTAATTTATATACCATGCAACACAGAAGAGCCAAAAGATTCAACATTTAGCAGAAATTACATAAACCCAGAAAGCAAACAACCAAAAGAACAACACAAAACACAAACTTTAGGAAATTGAGCAAAATCCATGAATACCCAGAAACCCCAAAAACTCAAAAATGAAACTAAACGATTACAGAGAGAGGAGAGAGAGAGAGAGAGAGAGAGAGAGATACCAGATGGAGACATGACTACGAGCTGCTCGGGCTTAGGAATAGAGTCGTCGTGCACTTTGATTGTGATGCTGCCGCCGGTCCCTGAGACCCATCCGAGATTGTAGAACTGGCGGCAGAGGTCGGATATCAGAACCTTGGTGTCGCTCACCGCTTTGCCTTCCAAGTAGGCCTGCGACGTCGTACCGAGTTTCAGTCCGTTCACTGCCACTGATGCCATTGCTGGTCTAGAGAAAGGAACTGTGAACCTGTGATTGGCGTGCTTCAATACTTGGGCTAAAATAAACTGTGAACCTCCGCTTTTGTATCCGTGTGAACTTATAACTCATCAAAGCTGGAAACCTTTGCTTTCGTTTTAGTCGGAGTAAAATAAATACATTTTCTTTTCGAAGTTAATTTGTTACGTATTGCTATTTTATGGAAGAGAAATGCTAAAGAAATTTTCTCAAATGTGAGACTTTTTGTGTATTTTCTTTCAATTAATTTTTATATCATAGTTCTCGTGTTAACATTATAAAATAATGTATCAAAAAGATGAGGTGGTGAAGAGTTCATAGAGAGTCTCGTTTTAAAAGAATCTCCTTAGTATGTAGATAAAAATGAGCACAAATGGCAAATGGTAACATTGTTTGAAGTTTTTGAACAAACAATAGTATATATACTAAAGAAATAGGGAGCATTGTTTAAAGTTTGAATCTTAAATTATTAAATAGTGCACAAAACTGGAAAAATTGAAGTGCCATTTGTGCAAATTTTCCTTCTTTTTGTATAAAATTACTTTATTATACCTTATTAGAAATAGTGAACTACCAATTTAGTCCCCGAATTATTACCAGAGTGAAAATTAGGTCCTTAAACTATTTTTCAGAAAAATCAGTCATTGAATTAGAAAAATCCGCCAATTACATGTCTAATATTATATTTGAATATACTATATTCAATTTTCCGCTAATTTAAGTCACGTTACTTCCATGCAATACACATTGGAGAGTATTTGGTAATTTTCATAAAGACATAGTGTATGGAGTTAACTTTGGAGGGTAAATTAAACGTTAGATTCAAAACCTATATGAAATGTTAAGGGCTTATAGGCGAAAAAATGATGATATTACATTCTAAAGTGTGTCAATTGACTTAAGTTGACAAAAATTGGATAAAATAGCATTGAATAAAATAGTACAGATGAAATTAGCAATTCTTAATGAATTTAGGGACTTATTTTACCAAAAAAATAATTCAAAAATCTAATTTTCACTGAAGTAATAATTCAAGAACAAAATCGGCACTTTGCCTTATTAAAAATTCTACTTCAATTTATAAAGGAGAATTAAAATAGGCATGACTCATTCCATCTTTCCACATCACCACATGCCTACAGTGGCTGCTATGAATTACAAGGCAACTTAAGATGAGCTAATACTAAATTATTATCATAAGTTCATTGTTTGATTTAGTTCAATTTCACTTGTAAATGAGAGATTTTGGGTTCGATTATCATCAAATGCGAGTTTGAACCATATTATTGGTAGTCCATTATGAGACTAAGCACCCCCTCTCTCTCTTAGTGTAGATAATATATCATTTGTTAAAAAAAAATTCAATTTCACATCCCTTTAACGTAATAATATACAAATCAAAAAAAATATCACTAGATTGTTATACTAAGTAGATTGTATAGTCATATTATTAGGAGCAAACCAATTTATAATTGTAAGGAGGTTATTACTTAATAAAGGATAATGAAACTTTTTTTTTTTTGACTCAGTGTGAAGTATGTCAATTTTCAAGACGTAGACATTCGCAAAAGAGAGAACCTAGTCTCTAAAGTAGTTAATTACATGTATGTACTGTTCTCTTTAATGCGTCAAGTTTCATGCCAATAAACTATACACATGGTATCAACTTACAAGCTCAAGGACGTGGTATCAACTCCAAGGAATAAACCACTGTCTCATACCACTTTAGATAAATATTTCATTTCATCTCAAATTTTAGGGTGTGATATCCACACACCGTTACTACTTCTCACACACCATTTTAATTTTCAGCTATTAGATCGGATAAATTGAAGAAAATCAAAGAACAAAAATTAACAAGGGACGTGTGAAGAGTAAAAGAGGATGTGTGGACACACCCCTAAATTTTAATTTGTGACAACATATTTTTTGGACTTGTTGACAATTATTACTATGTGAACGACGAGACCTAAAAAAATTATAAATAACTAGTCAAAGTTGGGTCCAAAACTTATAATGACTAGATGAAGGTTATTCCTATATAAGGTATCATTATTATATAATATTTACAATATTGTTGTATTCAAAATTAAGAGATCTTTAGCGCGATTCTTGTAAATGACTAATTCAAAATCAATTACTACGGTTAACACTTTATTCGACTTAACCTAATTTCTTACTTCCTCAGTGTAAATAATATGTCTTTGGTTCAACCTTTATGCATTAACAAGTTTAAAACTAAGGGTAAATTACATAGTAGCCCCTCAGGTTTGAGGTTTATTATAACCTCATACAACATCTTTAAAACATTTCACTTTCATACCTCATGTACTATTTTATTTCAAAATAACACCTCCATTAGATTTTCCATCCATTAGTCTGTTAAATGCTGATGTGGCTGCCACATTTGTGCTGATGTGGTTGCCACGCGGCAAAAAATTTTTTTTTAATTTTTTTAGAAAAACCTAAATCTTCAAAAAAAAAAAAAAAAAAACCTTAGAAAACCCAGATCCCACCACTTCCCCCCCCCCCCCGGCGGCCGTCGAAACCCTATCCCTTTAGAAAACCCATAAGCAGCCATCAAGACCCCCATTCCCTTAAATTTCCCAACACAATCTCCTTCTCACTCTCACTCTCACCCAACACCTTCCCCACACCCCCAAAACCATGAATGTACCTTCTCTTTCTTCCTCCTCCTTCCCTCTGTTTCCCTCGACCTCTCCCGCTGCAACCTCTCCAGCCAAATCCCACCACAAATCTGCCACCTTTCTTCACTAATCCACCTCAATTTGAGCGGCAACACCTTCCACGGCCTTCTCCAGCCCGCCATTTTCGAGCTCTACAACCTCAGGATCCTCGACATCAGCCACAACGACTTCAAGTCGGATTTCCCGCCTGGGATTTTGAAGCTCAGTGGTGGTGGTGTGTCGTCGGTGCGTGCGTGGTTGTGTAGATGGGTGCGTGCGTGGGTGTACTGTCGGGGAGAAAGTCCGATAGAGAGATAGAGAGTGAAAGAGTGAGAGATTCGAGAGAGAAAACCCCCCGGCCCTGCCGCGACCCACGACCCACCTCGCTTCCCCCCGCTCCGCCGCGACCCACTTCCCTTCCCCCCCGGACCTTCTGACGACTTTCCCGCGAACTGGGCTTTTTTTTTATTTTTTTTTTCTCCCTCTTCTTCTTCTTTTTGTTGCAGGTTTTGGGGGGATGAACTGGGGGTTTTTTTTTTCTTTTCCTCCCTCCTCTTCTTCTTCTTCTTGTTGTTGCAGGTTTTTAGGTTCTAGGTTAGGGATAGGGATGTGGGTTGATTGAGGGGAGGTCGTTGGGGGGTGGGTGAGAGATAGTGGGTAAGGATTGCAGAGCGGAGAGGGGGAAGAAAGGGGATCTGGGTTAGGGTTTTTATGCTTTTTTTATTTTTATTTTTTTTTTGAAGATTTAGGTTTAAAAAAAAAAAAAAAAAAATTTGCCACGTGGCAGCCACATCAGCACAAATGTGGCAGCCACGTCAGCATTTAACAGACTAATGGATGGAAAATCTAACGAACATGTTATTTTGAAATAAAATAGTACATGAGGTATGAAAGTGAAATGTTTTAAAGATGTTGTATGAGGTTGTAATAAACCTCAAACCTGAGGGACTACTATGTAATTTACCCTAAAACTAAACTAGCATTTGCCTACCCACTTTGTGTGTATGAACCCATTTTTTTAGAAAATGAGAAGGAGGGAGGGAGAGAGGGAGAGAACATTGGTGAGTGGAAGGTTTTTGTTTTTTGTTTTTTTTATATAAATATTGGAGGCATTTTAACATCACATGTAAGTGAGGTTTCAATAAAAAACAGTAAAATTTAAACCTATGAAATTACATTATTGCCCATCAGTTTTTTGTGTTATCTAATTTGTCTTTTCATCATCTTTTGGTTGACAAAGAGGATTTTATTAATTAGTAGATATTATTACTCCCTAAATGTGTGACTTAACCCTTGTTTATTTATTTATTATTTTTTGATATATCAAAAAGTAATAGTGGGGCGTTTGGTTGAGGACATTAGCCGCAGTGCTTACTCCTATCCCGGATAACATCCCATTCTTTGTTCCTAGTATACAGCACATTATCCAATTCCAACCAAAAAATCACCTCTCCAAATTACAAAGCCAAAAGTCCCTCCGTCCCTCCCCTCATCCAACCATGTCAGGCAGAGACCGTATGCTGAAGAGCCTCAAGAAGTTCGCTGACTTTCATTACAAAATCTTCACGGATAAATATGGCCATCAGCTCACTGACATTTTCGAGTTCCCTATCAAGCTTGTCCTTTCTCCTTTCACTCTTGCTTTCGACATTGCCGGCTCTGCTCAACGTGGGTTTGGCGTTCCCGAGTTGGTGTCCAAGCTATCTTACATGTCAATCTTTGTGAGTTCTTGCAATTCATGAAATTTTATCACTTGGGAATTTTTCTGTCTCTGCAAAGTTTGAGAATTTAGCTGCTTTTTTTACTTTTCAGTGGGAGTTTTCGCTGTTACTAGGTATCTGCAAATGGGTTAATGGTGTTTTCTGAGTTCAGGGGATATAAAGACTGGATTTTGGTAGAAATTAACAGTTGTTTTGGGAGGTTTGTGTCATTTGGGAATTGGGTCGATGGGTTTTTGTTCAATTGTTATTGGGGTTTGTGTGGATTTTTGTGGCGAAGAATGTAGAATCAATTGGTGAATGTATAATTTGAAGGGAAAGTTGAATTACATTTGTAGTTTAGTCAAATAGGTTGTGAGGTGATGCTGCTGCTCTTGGGAACTTGCATAATACTGAATGGTTTTGTTCTGTTTTGGTTTCCTTTACGTTTCAGGCAGTTGCTACTTTAGGAACTTATGACATAGCATTAGAGATGGGAAAGAAGGTGATATGTCAAAGGTAATTTTCATTATCCGTTCAATTTTCCTGGCAGTCCTTATCGTTACTTATCTTTATTTTCTATGCTTGATATTGTAGTGCCTAGCACTTTTATAGTTTATAGTTTCACTATATAAGTATATATATACATGTACATGTGCATATATATGTGTGTGTGTGTGTGTGGTATTGTAGTGCCTAGCACTT